CATGCAAGATCTCACCTCGTGGAGTTGCAACGATCTTGAGAACGGTGAGGAATCAGTCCAGAACAACACGGGAGGATCTTGTCAATGATCTCAAGGCAGCAGGGCAAACGTACAAAATCAGCAGGGGATCAAAAAGTTTATTCCCTCACTGTAAGTCATGCAAAGCAGAAACACGATGCTTCTGACAGAGTTTTAGTTTTGGTATTTTTATTAAAATATTCTGTACGTGCAAGTAACACTTACTGCGCATGTCGCCGTTTACTTTGCGACGACTCCCAGTCTGTTTTCCGCCGCCACAGCCTCTTTTAACTCTCATGTAACATTCAGTAACAGTCCCAGCTCCTTATTGGTCCATGCAAAATAATAATTGAGCAGAACTAAGCAAGTAAACAAGTAAAAAACGCTTGTCCTGAATGAAATGGAAAAATCTAACCTGAGGTTCGATACGCAGCCGTAGTTTAGTTTAGTCTTGTGCTGAGTATCACAAGAACCTGCGGTGCTTCTAGCTGTGGGGTGAAAATGAAAGGTGATTTGTTTTATCTGTCTTTGTAGGCATCGCTGTAGCAGATGCTACAACAACAACACTATCATCTTCATCCTCCTCCTCAGAGTTTGTTCAGAGGAAGCGGCCGTCTTCTGCCAACAGAGACGGCGTCCGACTTAAAGACGCAAAGACCGAGTTGACCGAGGTGACCTCAGAGGCCGCAGCTACAGACGACGGCGTTCAAATGCAGCAGGTCCAGCAGGTTAACATGAGGGAGCTGTTTGAGATGATGATGCAGTCAGTTACCTCTCTGGCTTCGTCCTTAGCTTCCTCGCACACTCCCTCGCAGCTCTCTGATCAGCTGATGCCTCCTGCGCCGTCTTCCCCGGCAGTCCTGCGACCTGATCTGCAGCATCTGCATCACCTTCAGACGCACCACGGCCCGCCGCCGTCCTGCTCGGCGTCCAGGCCGAGCCACCTGAAAACAGAAGAGCAGGAAGCGGTGGTGGCGGAGCTGTCCGACCTAACTGACGGCGAGGAGGAGTGCCCGGCCGCGTCTCCCAGGCCGACCCGAGCCAAGAGGAAGAGAAGCGACGGTCTGCTGGAGGAGTTCCTGAGGAGGATGGAGGCCAGGGAGGCTCAGAGAGACCGCGACGTGGATCAGAGAGACGACGTCACCCTGTTTTTACTCAGCCTGGCTCCGGCCATGAGAAGACTTCCTGCAGAGAAACAGTCGTGGGTCAGAACCAAGATACAGCAGTTTGTGCACGAGGCGGAGTTTGGTGCTACGAGTTTTCCCAAATCCGAAAACATTTTTATTGAATGAATCCAGGACGGATCCCAGTGGACTCCAATAATAATTTAATTCCCCCACATTTTATCCTCCATTTTTAGAATACTGTTGCTGAACGTGTCCTTTCTCACGTTTTTGTGCTGTTTTTAATAAAATCTTGTATTATGTTTATATACTGCATGTAAATTAATCAAAGTGAGCACTAAAAACGGCTTTAATCTTTCTTTATGTGTAGAAAAATCACACTTTCAGAACATTAATCGGACATCAGATTATTTCTTAAATGTATACACGACCGTTTGTGGTCACTTTTCAAAATAAAAGCACAGTTTTTGTCCATTAAAATAACATCTGATGTTTAGAAAGTGTAGACATTAATGTTGTAAACATGTTTCCATGGCATTCTGTGTTTGCTGATCCAAGCTGACCATTTTTAAAAGGCCAATTGTCGTTAGAAACCCTTTTTCACTCTTAATGCTCCAGATGCTCAACTACTTTAATCAGAAGAACCGTTTTTAAGCTGTGCGACCACGATTGCAAAAGGTTTTCTAAAGATCAAGTAGCCTTTTAAAATGACAAACTCTGATTGGGGCTGATGGTTGCTGATAAAGGGCCCCTGTACGTCTCTGCAGGTATTCTCTTACAAATCAGCCCTTTGCTGCAACAAGTCATTTACAACACAAACAATGTCTTTCTGATCAATTTGACGTTTTAATGGACAAAATCTGCTTTTCTTTCAACCTCAAACTTTTCAACAGCAGTGTACACACCAGGCAGGACCCCGGGTGCAGACTATGAAAGGAGGCCCCTGAGACAGTACAGCACATAACAGCAGGTTGTAAGATGCTGGCAGGAAGTGGGTACATGGAACGCGATAACCAGGTAGCTGGCGTAGTGTACAGGAACATCTGCCGTGAGTATGGGCTGGAAGTCCCAAGGTCAAACTGGAAGACACCTCCTGACCGAGCTAAGATCCTGTGGGACTCCTCCGTACATCGTGCGGATGGACAAACAGCAGAAGAAGGCTGCAGCGATAGATGTGGCGATCCCAAGCGACAGCAACATCAAAAAGAAGGAACACGAGAAGCTTGAGAAATACCAAGAAAGAGGAGCGAGTAAGAGCAACAGTGGTGCCAGTGGTGATCGGAGCACTGGGGGCCGTGACTCTCAAACTGGGAGAGCGGCTACAGCAGCTTCCAGGTAAAACGTCTCTGTCCAGAAGAGTGCAGCCCTAGGAACAGCTAAGATACTGAGCAGGACCCGAGCTTGAGGATGACACATAGCACCTATAAATATATAAATATAGCAAAGATACATCCTGGTTAAGGCTGGACGATATGGCCAAATATGTTATCACAATAAAAAGTTTCATATCTTTTGATAATCATCACAATAAGTGTCAAATTGTTATTTCTTTGGAGTTTAAAGGCTGATATCTGGTCCTGAGTAAAAGTTGAAGATTTGAATTGTGGTTTAAACTCTTCTTTATGGTGAACACAGTGGATCACTTCACAAACCTAAGGTAGAACATTCAAAACAATTATGATAAAATATACATGAGCAAAACAAGTAAAAGCTTTTTTCTGTCCTTTTTCCTCATTCCTAATTTCTGTCAAGTAAATAAAATCAAAAATGTATTGAATATTTATTGAAAATGTATCATACTGATAGTGAAAAAATATACATTGCCATAATTATTGTTACTGTTTTATTGTCCAGCCCTGATCCTGGTACAACATTTCTCTCTGTTGAAGCCAGACGCCACAGTCAAAATGATGATTTTGCTTCAATCTGTCAATATTAAGATTTCAAGTTATTTTGCAACTGGTAAAGGTAAAGGTACTTTATTTTGACACATACATGTAGCGAGATTCAACTCTGCTTTTAACCCATACAGGTGAAACTCAAAATATGAGCATATCGTGCAAAAGTTCATTTATTTCAGTAATTCAACTTAAAAGGTGAAACTAATATATTTATAGACTCATTAATGCAGTGAGATATTTCAAGCCGTTATTTGATATAATTTTGATGATTATTGCGTACAGCTTATGAAAACCCCAAATTCAAAATCTCAGATTAGTATTGTGAAAAGGTTCAGTATTGTAGGCTCAAAGTGTCCCACTCTAATCAGCTAATTAATCCAAAACACCTGCAAAGGGTTCCTGAGCCTTTAATTGGTCTCTCAGTCTGGTTCTGCTGACCTGACAGCTGTGCAGAAAACCATCATTGACACCCTCCACAAGGAGGGAAAGCCTCAACAGGTCATTGCAGAAGAAGTTGGATGTTCTCAAAGTGCTGCATCAAGGCACATTAATAGAAAGTTAAGTGGAAGAAAAAGGTGCACAAGCAGCAGGGATGACCGTAGCCTGGAGAGGTTTGTCAGGAAAAGGCCGTTCAAATGTGCAGGGGAGCTTCACAAGGACTGAGGCTGGAGTTACTGCATCAAGAGCCGCCACACACAGACGGGTCCTGGACACGGGCTTCAAATCAAGCCGCTCCTGAACAACAAACACCGTCAGAAGAAAAAAAGAACTGGTCTGTTTCTCAGTGGTCCAAAGTCCTCTTTTCTGATTCTCATTTGGAAACCAAGGTCCCAGAGTCTGGAGGAAGGATGGAGAGGCACACAATCCAAGATGCTTGAAGTCCAGCGTGAAGTTTCCACAGTCTGTGTTGGTTTGGGGAGCCACGTCATCTGCTGGTGTTGGTCCACTGTGCTTTATTAAGTCCAGAGTCAGCGCAGCCGTCTACCAGGACATTTTAGAGCACTTTATGCTTCCTTCAGCCGACGAACTTTATGGAGATGCTGACTTCATTTTCCAGCAGGACTTGGCACCTGCCCACACTGCCAAAAGTACCAAAACCTGGTTCAATGATCATGGGATTACTGCTGACCAGCGAACTGGCCTGACCTGAACCCCGTAGAGAATCTATGGGGCATCGCCAAGAGAAAGATGAAAGACATGAGAGCGAACAATGCAGAAGAGCTGAAGGCCGCTACTGAAGCATCCTGGTCTTCAATAACGCTGATAGCGTCCATGCCACGCCGCACTGAGGCAGTAATTCATGCAAAACAGGCCCAAACCAAGTGCTGAGTACATCTGCATGATTTATACTTTTCAGAGGGCAGAGGACATTTCTGTATTTAAAATCCTTTTTTTTAAATTGATTTCATGTAATCTAATTTTCTGCGATTTTGAATTTGGGGTTTTCATAAGCTGTATGCAATAATCATCAAAATTATATCAAATAAAGGCTTGAAATATCTCACTTTGCATGTAATGAGTCTATATAATATATTAGGTCCACCTTTTTTAAGGTAAATAACTGAAATAAATGAACTTTTGCACGAAATGCTAACTTTTCGAGTTTCACCTGTATGCCTGTAGGGAGCAGTGCGCAGCCACTGTACACTCTGGAGAACCTACCTAACATGTTTTGAAGCAGGAAACATACAAATCCACACCTTTTACCAGACTTTCATAATATTTACAAAACAATCTTGAATATATAATAAAATATAAAATATAAATAATAAAAAATAATAAAACACATTTAGACATTTATTTTCTTCGTTCCCAAACTTGCTGTATATTTACTGAATAATCATCAGTCGTGTGTTTTTATTTTAATTTTTTCTATTTGGGTGAAACAGCGCCACCTACCGAAGCCTCGCGAGACTTACAACACGACCAGGCTGTCATCCGGGTAAGTCGGGTCAGCTGATGTCAACACGGAAGCAGTCTGGAGTCGTGAAGTTGTCGCCGCGCTGAGGAGCAGCTGGACGGTCGAAACGTCTCATTTCACCGATTAACGAGCCGGATCTCAGATGTTTTAACGTTTCTACGTGCCGTTAAAGCCCGAAGCTGGTCGTCTTTTATCTGTGAGTACTGAGACGAGTCAATAACGGCTGATAAAACGGGATTTTGCTTCTGAAACAGCCTATTTTAGCGAACTTTCTACAGGAGATGTCAAATATAAAATAAAAACACCTCATAGTGAAGTCGAGTCTGACAAAGAGTTAAGCCAGTCTAAAATAAGATGAGTGTTTCATTAATATTGTTGTCATTTTGTGCTCGTCTCTACCACAAAATGAGAGAACAGATAAAACCCAAAGGTCTCCTCCTGTTTTCTACTTAAATATGACTGCACTTCTTTTTTCCTTGGTCTTCTTCACGAAATGTGTTCTTTTACATATTTGATGCACATTAATTATCATACAAGGTGCGACTTAAATTCAGTATTGATAACAAAAAAAGCCACAGAGCGACTGTAAAACTACAACATTTGCCCATTTATGCTAAATCAGTTGTTTTTGGATGCTTTAAATTAATACAATATTTTATCGTCCCCAAATATGTTGGTTTAATGTCACGTAAACATTTTATTCTCACTATGATCTGACACTAAAATGAAAATCATACATTTAGAATTATTATTATTATAAGTATTAGTTTTCCAGTCAGCTTAATGTGATATTTTAATCCATTAATTGTCTCGTTTTGTCCTCAGCCCACATGGAACAGCTGTAAAGTTGAAGTGTGGCTATTGATTTCTTTATAAACATACAGTTTCAATGGAAGAAAAGAACCAAACGTTCATCTCTAACACAGTCTCTGGTGTTTCCAGCAGGTAGCCCAGTCGGGCTGCAGGCAGCTGCTGACGATGGTGAAGGTGTTTCGCTGTCCGGCCCGTCATGGCTACGCCGTGGAAGTGTCCCCGTTCATCCCTAACAGAGTGGCCTGCGCTGCCTCGCAGTACTACGGCATAGCTGGTTAGTTTTGTGCCAGATGGTGACAAATAGAAATCTGAATGCAGGAGTGTGGAAACATGACACACTCATGGTTTGATGAGCATGACAATGATGTGAATTGGATGCTTTGAACTTCACATCAGGAAACCTCAACCCAACAACATGTCTGAATCTGACTCTAGTAACTGACTTGTCATCAAATCTGGATCTAATGAAAGAGCTGGTATTCAGCAGCTCATTTTCAGGTTCATAATCTTATTACATGGTTTAATTTTCAAAAAACTTACTGCACGTTGCTGCAGCTCCTCTTTTCACCCTGTGTTGAAGGCTTCGTTTTAGCTATGGAGTGAGGCATCTTGTCTCTAAATGATCTTTGTTGGGAGTTGCACATGCGCAGTTCCTAGTTAAGGACTACTAGCCAATCAGAAGCAGAGAAGGGCGGGTCAGCGAGAAGCCGGTAAACAGCTCGGGTTCAGCTGTACGTGTTGCCGACCAGCTTGGCAACACGGACTGGAGCGAGAGTTTCAGAGCGGTGAGTTATTAATCTGTAACAAAAGGATCTGACATTTGTGAAAAAGAGTCCATCTTGACTGCGTTTGTGCACCAAGCCTCATCGATCGAGTCCACCTCCTCTCATCCTGCCGGAGTCTTGCGCTGACAGCTCAGAACATGGACCACCTGCCGGGTGCTTGATGTTGATTTGGCAGGTCTCTGTAACAATGTGGGCATAATGGTCTCTGAGTTCCGTTGTCTGGTCAACATGAGTCCCATTTTGTCCAGACCGGCTCTTTTAGAGCAGATTTAAGTCCAAGCCGGGCCAGCGTGGCTCCTCTCCTGGCTGTCTTTCATCTCCTCTGAGCGATCACCGGGTCCGGTTGTTTGGGCCGGCTGGATCGCGCTCTGCTTCTCTTTAATCCAAAAACCCCGTTATTTTTTACAATGACGCGTGTTTTGACAACAAAGCCGGAAAAAAACAGATGAAAAACAAAAGTTTGAAGGAGCTACCGGCTGCTGCTACAAGCGCTGCTGGTTGCCATAGTTTCACTTAGGTGAATATCAGATCACATTTGATGACAAATCTATGCAGAAATCCAGGTAACTCCAAAGGGTTCACATACTTTTTCCTGCGACTGTACATTTACAGGTAATGAAAACTCGAAGACAACCTGAAACTGAAATGTGCAGCAGAAGATGTGGAGTGATAATTAAAAGCACTGATTTTTACACTTACATGAGCTACTTGATCAAAATACTGATCATCCCTGTGTGTAATTATGTAGTTTTTAAGCTCAAAATGTTGATTTGATATGCAGAAAGGTTTAAGTGGGAAATTCTCATGACATTAAATGGGATGCAGGAAGATTATTTATTATTTTTTTGAACCGCAAAAACACAAAGAACTTCAGCTCATTGTCGGGGACTTCCAGAAAGACGCTGTTGTTGCTGTTATATGTTGATTTTTCCTGTCCTTTGTCACCTACGTCTGTCAGTTATATATTGTTACACAGCATAATAAAAAGCACCTTGTGTGTAGGTGGTGGCACACTCCTGGTCCTGGATGAGACGGAGACAGGGGTTGCTCTGGTGAGAAGGTAAAGTTTCTTTCTTTCCGTCAGTTTATTTTGTTTAATTGTCATTTCCAGATTTTTTATTTAATAATTTTCTTAATCTCTTTGTCAGACGAGATGCTTTTAAGAAGCTTAATGTCTTTTATTTTTCATTGTTTTCGGTCTGACCTGCGCAGAATTAGTTTCTTTTTGCTTCTTTGACCTGGTTTTACTGTTTTATATTCCACCTTACTTCTTCATCACGTTAGTTTAGAGCAGCCAACGGCCAGAACACCTGAGCAAAAGTGGATTTCATTTTTTAATCAATGATTAACAATACAGGCAATTTAATAAACAGGTTAGTAAAATAGCCTTGCTAGCATCCGAGGACCTTTCTTTGTTTACGTCACCACATGACTCATCGTGGTAACATCCACGACCACGTCCCACCAGGGGGCCCGTCCCCCAGTTTGAGAACCACTTGTTAGCGGTGTAGCGTAGAGTGATCATCTGCCATGATTTATTTTTAAATTTAGTTTCCGTGTATGTGAGTCAGTATAACTATACAGGTGTTGTGTGTGTGTGTGTGTCAGCTGGCAGTGGGGTGACGGTCTGTTCGACGTAGCGTGGAGTGAAGCCAACGAGCACCTCATGGTCGCCGGTGGCGGGGACGGAAGCCTGCAGCTGTGGGACACAGCCAATCACAACGCTCCGCTGAGAGTAGCCAAAGAACACACGCAAGAGGTCAGACGCACACACACAAACACACATTCACAGAAGGGTTAAAGGGTTTTCAGAAGGATGGCGAACGTGTGTGTGTGTGTTGTGTGTGTGCGCAGGTGTACGCTGTAGACTGGAGTCAAACCAGAGGCGAGAACCTCATCGTCTCTGGATCGTGGGATCACACCGCTAAAGTGGTGAGATCTTTTTGTTTTTTTTGTCCTTCTTTCTTTTCTTTTGAGTTTCTTTTCTCTCCTCTGACAGCGATGTGTTTTTGGTTTCTCCCCCCCCTCCAGTGGGACCCCACTCTCAGCCAATCGCTCACCACACTCAGGGGTCACGAAGGGGTCATCTACAGCACCATTTGGTCGCCTCACATCCCAGGATGCTTTGCCTCAGCCTCCGGTGAGCCCACACACAACACAGGAGGGAATGGATTTGTCTTTTAGTGAGAGATGGAAACAGTGAGAAAAACACCGGCCCACCGGTCCGGTTGAACGATTTGCGGCGCGGCGGGTGGAGCGGAGGTTACTTGCTCACTGCCCATAAATTACTTTGTGGTTTGTACTTATCTGTTTTAGGGGCACATGCGAGAGCCCGGTAAAACTACAACACTTGCCCATTTATGCTAAATCAGTTGTTTTTGGATGCTTTAAATTAATACAATACTTTATCGTCCCCAAATATGTTGGTTTAATGTCACCTAACATTTAATTTCACACTATGATCTGACACTGAAATGAAAGTCATACAAATGTTTTCATACATGTAGAATTATTATAAGTAGTAGTTTAGAAGTCAGGACACACGAACAAAGAAAGAGCTAAAGGAAGAGAGAAAGAAATGAATAGCGCAGTTTAATTTCATCGTTTTTATTGTTTATAGTTTTATCTTTCTTTTTTATTTCGTACCAAAATAAAATATGAAAAAGAAGCTTGTTGCTTTTTTTCCACCGCTGATTCAACTCTAAATTGTTCCTGAACATATTCTATATTTATATATATCATATATTATATATTCATAGCTAGATAACAATTTGTTTTTACATTTAGCACCAAACAAACCACCACCCTTCCACAAACTCACCCCCACAGACAGAGACGCATGTGCCTGAGTTTTTGGTTCTTGCAAGATGGAAACCGTGAACTAAAACACGGAGCCTGACCAGCGTGATCGTCGTGTTTAACTTTAATCCCAGTGTTGCTTCTCTCAGGCCAGTTTGATGAACCCTGGTTGGTACGGTGCTTTGTGTAATGTCGTCACAAGGTGGCGCTGTGGCCGTGTTATTGTGGCGATGCTCTGCTGTGTCTCTTGCTGGCTGTAGGGATTTTGAACTTCTAAGTTTGCTTCAGGTTGTTCAGATTCAGAGTCACAAAGGAAACCGTTTTTTTATGTAGTCTTGTTGTATTTGATGTTTAAAGAGGATGTTGATGTAAAAAAAAAAAAAAAACACCACGAGGAGCTGGTGGTGAAATGTGTGAGCTGCCTGGAGCTCTCAGCTTCCTCAATTTTTCAAACAGAATAAATTCCAGCTTCACATTCACGGTGTTTTATGTAAAGACACACTGTGAATCACAGTAGGATGCTTCAGGGTTTCACACAGGGCTGTCTTCAGCAGAGATCAGCCTTCCAGATGCTTCAGCTTCTCATCTTATTATTAGATTAGTCAGCAGGTGACGGCCCAAAAAGGCCAAGGCTGTTGTTTTCTTCAGAGTCGGTAGTATTCATGTTCTTTAGGAACAGTGGGAAATATCTGAAAGGACGTTATGTGATAATTTAGTCTGATTATTGGAGTAAATATTCATTTGAGGAATATTGTGTAGTTTTTTTTTTTCAACAAGTCAATCAAGTGTCCTGGTGGATGAGTCTTCATATTATATTACATATATTTTACACATCAGTGGGTGTAAATATTTAGTAACAGCTAATCTCTATGCCTATTTTATTTATTGACGGGTAAATCTCCTCTTAGTAAAGGAGGCCTACTGTGGTTATGATGCAGCTCCTCCTCTAGTGCCTCGCTCTTTCGAGGAAGTGAGTTTTAAAAATTGGCTTCATTCAGAAGACAATTAAATCGTCAGTTTGTATCCAGAGGGAGAGCTGGGATTATTTATCCGTTTCATGTGGGAGCGTACGCTAACTTTATCAGAGAGGTGGAGCTGGTGATGGATGTGCCTTTCGTCAGCTCTCTGTTCAGATTGTAGACCGGCTGGAGTCGAATCTGCAGCAGCTGCCTCCAGTTCAGTTCAGGATCAGCTGCGAGGCGCACAAGTTGGCTAATGAGTTTCGGGTTAATTGGTTTGCGAGAGCGAGCGGAAACCTCTGATGAGATTTTAGAACCAGGAAGTTGTTAGGCTCCTGTTGCTCCGTGGGAGTTATTCTGGGTTCAGTGATGTGACCTTTTTAGGTTTCGTTTTCATATTCACACAGAAAAAGCTGCACAGGTGAGATGAACGCGACGGGTTTACTGAAGTTGCAATATGTGGATCTGTGTTAGATGGTCAGTGTTTCCCACAGAATTAGATTCTATTTGTGGTGGCAGCTGTTTTTCAAATAGTAGAATTTATTATTTAATATTTAATTATACCGTTTAAATAAGGTGCCCCACTAAAAATATTTTAGATGCCAAGTACTGTGTGATAAACACTGGGGGGGGCACTGGTTTCATGTGAGAGCGGGGATGAAGAGGGGCTGAGCAGATCGATGTGTAGAGCCTCTCTGCAAAGAAACACAATTTTACCCATTTTAAATGAATAAAATCAATACGTGGTCGTCAATGTTGATAATTGTGATGGGCCGCCAATAATAAATCAACGTATGGGAAACACTGATGGTCGCAGCTGCAGGAGAATAAAATTAAACATCAGCTCTGTTCTGAATAAATGTAAAATTATACATAATATGAAAAAATCCACGTGAAACTCGAGATAGAAACGTCATAGTTCCAGTCAATTTTCTCCGCCTCCATGCTTTCTTGTCACTCTGTTCTTCTGCGGCGGTTGGCACGCCAGCTTAGAGGTGCATTACCACCACCACCACGTTGAACAGCAGTTACTTTTAGTGAAATTACTAAAACGCAGAAACGAGAGAAGGTTGATGCAGAAGAAGAAGAAATAGTACAAGCCGGAAATATGTAGGAGGAAATGCGACTTGTAGCTCCCGCTGTGACAACAGAAGCCAAATCTCTACCGGTGGACGGTGGCTGTGCACATCAGTGGACACAGTCTAGGTTTGTTGTCTCGGGTGCTCCCTCCCGGCTTCCAAGCACCTCCTGATTGAGCCCGTTGATTCTACAAACAGATCAATAAGTCGACAGGGCGTAAATTAATGTGGAGGTTTCCATCTAGTTGATAACAACCTTTATGCTGCAGTGGGTCCAGATAGGTAAAATCTTCTCTGAGACATGTTTTAGTTCATTTAATAACCTTTTTTTTGTGGGGAGCAGCTTCAGAATGATCCAATCACTTCAGAAATCATTTCATAGAACAAATGTTTGTATCCTGTTGGATAGAAAACTACTTCAGTAGTTGATTGAGTTTATTGACCTGTTCCCCCGAGACCTGGGAGAATCTTTCATTTCATACGGTGCCTTATTTTCCACTTGGCAGAACATGGAAATAATCATATCAAATAAAATGTTTAGTATGTTTATGGTCATGATAAATTAATTTACCAAGTACTTTTACATTTAATCAATCAATCCCAGAAAGTAGTGACTAATGTATAAAACAGAGAAAAGCAGCACATCTTTTGAATTGGCAAACAGTTAATTGATCATTTAAATTGTCGATTGTCTCACGTTGAAAATGCTGAGACTGTCAATACTTCACCCAGAGTCACGTTATAAGTGAAACACTTTGTTTTAAAGTTGTAAAAAATGTTGAGATTAATATATACAGAATAATGGACGTATGCGGGTTAACTAAAGATTTATTTAACCTCGAGGAGTAATTTAATCGCCGAATTCAGAGGTCAGGTGTTATTTGTTGAGTTTCAGACCAGTGACATCAGATCTGTGATCAGATAAGTCCTGCGGTGGAGCTCTGGAGCTCTGCTAACCTCTGCAGCTAAATGATTTAACGAGCACTGACCTCTGCAATAAAACCATTACCGTGGACTGACGTCCATGTTGAGCAGTTACAGCTGCTTTGCTCCGTGTTCACATCTGATCTGATACATAAACCTGCCAACGGTCATTTCAGTTTGTTAAAAACACCCGCACACAGTGCTGCTTACTGTTGGTTTATTTTTATTTAATACTGTTTTGGTTTAAAGAATCTTTATCAGGTAAATACAGTTACAAGTTTATTTGCCCCAGTCCTTTAATATTGAGTCCCATCCCATAGTTATATTTACCTGAATGACACAGGCGCCCCGAAAATGAACTTAATTTATCCTGAAAGAAGTCTTTATGGCAAATAGCAGCAGAAGAAATCAATATTGATTAAATATGTTTCAGACACGTCCTTATTTTACATGAGCTACTTGCTGCAAATACTGAAGGTCTGTGATCAGAACTATTAAGCTGATATGAGTTCATTCAGGCTCTTTATCACGGTTAGAGTTGTTGGACGTACAGAAACACTTTGCTCATATCCTACAGAGACTTCACAGAGTGGACGCTCTTCCCTTACAAAGGATCTTTGACAACACACAACCCCGACAACAGACATGTTTAATGTTGTTTAATGTAAATCTAATTGCTCACAGAATAAACATTACTTAGTGACAGCTGATATGATCTACCGCCGCCGGCGATGTTTGTCCTTTTACCTGGTGAAAGCGCCGCTCAGCTGCTCTCCGCTAACGAGGAAGAGATGTGGGGGGAGATAACAGATTTGTTAGTGTGTATTTTGCAAAGCTGGGTCATTCGCAATCACAACATTTTCACTTCTGTAGCCGACAAAGAAGAAGAAGAATCAACTTTATTGTCACAGACAATTATACACAGTACAACACATGCAAAATGTTAACCCATCCTTATTATACAGCAATGGGCAGCCAGTGTGCAGCGCCCGGGGAACTGTTGGGGGTTCAGGGCCTTGCACAATGGTCTGTGCTGGACTTGAATCCCTGCAGACTGAGCTAACGCTGCCTTGATGCAAGCATATACAAATATTTACATATGTAAGTGTCATAAACGCTGAAATGATGGTAAAGGGGCACCCAAGGTGTTAAAAAGCGACGCCAAGAGGTCTTGACCAGGTGTCCATATGTGACGAGTTGGGAGTGAGAATGTGTTGAGTCAGCACAACAGACCCGCCTAGTTTATGAGAGTTATGTAACAGGAAACGTTAACTCTGGAGGACTAGTTATAATAATGTATGTTCAGGATCTGCCCCTAAGCGCCCCTAATGCTGTGTGTGTCTGTGCATGTTTATGTTCAGTATCTGTGTGTTTTACCA